TCAAAGAACACTTTGCAAATGAAGTAATTTAATTTTCACAGTTTGTTTCAAAATTGTGAAAGTTGAATGTGATAAACGAAAAAATGATTTTTTTTCTCTCAAGAAAGTAGTCTCATTTCGTCAAATAACCTGCATATACGTGCATGGTAGTACTTTCGCTTGTGCTTCATTATTTTTCTTTAAAATAATATTTTTACTTGTACTTTGCTACTGTTGAAAATCATTGCATTTACTTGTAACTTCTTTTACTTAACAACTGAGCAAAAATTTCGGTTATTTGTAACAAAAAAGTCATTACATTTTGTTTCCAAAGTTTAATTTTTTAATTTTCGTATCATTTATTTAAAAAAATGTTCTGCTTTGTAATTTTTGTTTAATTTCAGTTTTTTTTCGAAAAGAAATATGCAACCCACCTGAAATATGTTATTTCTGACACTGAAGACAAACAATACTTAATTAACCTATCGTTTTTTGCTGCAATTTATCTGCCCATTGCAAGGCTCTTTAAATTTAACTGTTCTTTTGCAATTCAACGAATTCATTGTTGTATTGTTTTGAGTTTTGCATGAAATTTTTTTTTTTTTGCATACAAAACCGAATTCCAGTCGTTTTTTCTTTTAATTTAAGAAATATTTTGTATTACCTAATAATGTCAGTGACAAGTCAAAATTCCAAATAAAATATCTGCAATGCAGTGCGTCAAAATATATATTCTATTTAATGTTATTAACCACATTCATCAGGTTTCCCTCATAGACTCACTGCCTCATGGCTCCTTATTGATCACTTATTGAACCGTGGACTGAAAAATATAGTAAATAAAAATATAGCGCATACAAAGTTATTCGTCATATGAAATAAAGCCTTCTGGCGAATAATATTCCGTTTAACACTCTATATCTGTGGTGTAACATCTCTCCGAATTCGATGTTGAACAACTCTAAAATTATGTGCATGAACACTTTTTTTCAAGTTAACACCAAATCGATTTTTCATATACAATTTAAACGGTATATGAAAGCTTTAAATACCGAAAATTTTCGGCTCGTTTTGATTTCGTCTGTAATTGTTTACAACCGATACTAGTTGTCGAGTGTTTGCAGCTTTCTTCAATGTTGCTTTTCATCTGCAGAAAAAGTTCACCATTAAAAATATGTATGAATATTTTTAGTTGTGTAATAAGAATGCTTATATTTTAATTTTCAAGTCTCTGTAAATCGAATAAATTATTTTATAATGTATAATTTCTATCCGCTCCTGTTCTGTTAAGCCTAGTTTGAATTTGTCTTAATTTTATCTTTGCTACGAGTATATTTGCTTTACTAACTCATTTTATTTTTACAATTCGTGAATGTGTGTGTGTATGCAAATAAATTACTGATTCTTACTTCATATTGTCTCTTAAAAATAACTTTACTGACTCTTATGTGTATCATATCTTACTGTAAAAATTTTAGTGATACTTATTAACAGACATGGTGTTAGATAGAAGCTACTTTACACCAAGTAGTGTAAAGGAACATTCTAGGTTTTTCACAGAACTAGGGGCTATCATTGGGTTTTGGTGTCACGGAACATCACTTCAGTGTGCAGTATTTGTCACCATTTTTGGTGATCATATAAGCGATTTTTTCTTGTTCTGTGTTTTTTATAAATTTGAAATAATTATTTTTGGTCCTTAATTTCAGTTTTGTTCATCTTTAAACTGCTCCCTCTCAGCTGATAATAAGAATAGCGAAAATTGACAGTGTTCAGAAAAGCTAAATTTTTTTTAAAATTAAAAGCACTTGTGATCTAGTTTTTTTTAACTATTTGAAAAAACAACTCCAAGGCTTTATTGTTTAGACATGTAAAAATATGCAAAACTCAAAAATTGTTTGGTTTTTATAATTTTCCTGTAGACAGGAAAATTTTGATTTCTATAAAAAAAAATTATAAATTTTTAAATTTTTGAACTATTTGTCCATTTAAAATTTCATTCAATTCTCATAGGCAAGACGAAAAATAAAGCTTTAAGTTAAAGTTAGTAATAAAGTTAATAATATAAAGTTAATAAATAATACTTCTGGTTAATAAAACAAAAATATACGGTATTTAAGCCATTCATTTTCTAATTTTTTCTTTCATATGGCAATAATATACCGGAAATTCTGGTTTTCAAACTTATAGTTCTTATTACCATATGATTAGTAAAAAATACAAAACTGAAAGGTCTGGTTAATAAAACAAAAAGATACGGTATTTAAGCCATTCATTTTCTAATTTTTTCTTTCATATGGCAATAATATACCGGAAATTCTGGTTTTCAAACTTATAGTTCTTATTACCATATGATTAGTAAAAAATACAAAACTGAAAGTAAATTTAACCGAATGCATCATTTTTTTGCCATGATTTAAGGTATCATGATAAAATTACCAAATTTCATCACATGTTATAAAACCATATTTTGTTGCAAATTTTCTTAAAAGTCACTACCAAAGCGCTTCGGTAAAAATAACCGAGCTTTATGGCGTTCTCATAGATTTAGAAATACAGTAAATTTTATCATATTCTGGTAGTTTTTGCAAAAAAATTTTTTTCTCAGTGCATGAAAAAAAATGCTCAGTTTCCAGTTGGAGGGGGAGAATTTTAATAAACTTGTATCCAAGAGATTGATGTACAAAAGCTAAATAACGTTCTTTTATTTTCCTATAAATTAAGAAAAAAATGGCCTGATTATTGAAATTCAAGATAAACTATTTAAATACGAAACTTTCTTTAAGCCTAAACCAAGAGAACAAGCTGGAAGAGATGCAATTTTAAAGAATGGTGTGTTTGTTACTCCGATTTAAATTCTTTCATCGCATTCTTGGCCAAAGCGTCTCTAATTGCTCAAACAACTCCCACTTTCAACGGTAAGCGCTTCTGTTTAAACAACTGAAGAAACTTATTTTCTTTCAAAACACATTGTTCCTTTAGAAGTTATAACGAATTAGTCTTACAACATTGACTTATTTTGAATAGAAAAGAATGATGGCTTTAATCAAGGTTCTTCGTTTCTAATTAGAAAGGAGTGTATTTTTTACTTGAAAAAAAACAACAACACTGAAATCCTGAGTATGTTTATTGACAAAAGTAATTAACTGCGCAATGATGCTACCATCAGATAAAAATCTTAACAAAATGTAGATATTTTTATACTTATTTCTTAATAGTTAGAATCATTTGCTTACGCAGCTATTTAATGTATTCTTTAAAAATATTTACGGAAAAATTTAGCTTATTGCGATTACTACACCGAGAAAAAAATATGATAAAAACTACTAGAATATAGTAAAATTTAGTATGTTTTTTTTCCTGCCTTATGAGAAAATCAAAATAATGTTTACCTTAGCTCTTTGGTAATAACTTCTGTTCAAATTACAACAACTATATAAGGTTTTATTATCATGCTATTTGGTAGTAAATTTGGTAAAATCTAGTAATTTTAATAGTTTTAGTAAAATATGAGATAACATAAAAATGTTCAGTTCCATAGTCTCTATTTTATTAAGTTATAAGTTTAGTTCTTGTAACTCGTTAACAGCGTTTTTGGTGACTTAATTCGTATATATATATACAATTTAGAGAATTAGATTATTTTGGAAGTTCCGAGATCAAAAACTTTCAAAACTCAATACTTTCTGAGTTCGAAAAGGAAGCTTATTTTGAAAAATAATAAATACTAAAATGAAAAAAAAAAATAAAAACTATATATATATTTAAAAGAAAAATTATTTACATTAGTTCAAGAGAAAAGTTTGGACTCGCTTACGAATTTCCGAGCTTGAAAGCTTTTAATACAATATTTTTTTATTTCGAATAGGAAATTTATTTTTTGAAGATAAAAACAAGTTATTAGTTAGATTTTTTTTAGCCTAAAGCTGTAGATTTATCATCTCAAATAAAGACCAAAATTCGTGTAAATATAATACACATAGTTTGAGTTTACCTATTCTTGGACCATAGCAGCTAATACTATTCATATATTTATGCTTAATAAATTAAGCAAATGAATTTCATGAATCTGTTTAGCTTGGAGGTAAGAAAGTATAACAAAATAATGTTTTTATATTGAGCCTGAAAACTCTTTTCATCTTATGAGCCCTTGTGAGATCCGAGCTAAATCTAGGCATCTCTGCTGAGCCAACACCTTCCAGAAGAAAGAAAGCCTTTTCACGTGTTACCATAAATGAGAAATCAGATCTTTTAGTAGTCATAACTATGTGACATATTTATAATAAACCCCCGCTGCTCAGTTTTGTAGTCCAGACGTTCTGATACAACCCCCCTGCGCAGTTTATGTTCGTTACATTGATCTGATCGGAGCCTTCACTCTTCTGGGAAGTATTGGTTGAGCTCGTGTGATTGCTAATGGGTTTGTAATGTTTCGTCATTTTTTAAAGATCCCGTAGTATCTAAATAAAAGCCAAAATTTCTCGCATTTGTCTAAAACTACTTTTATTTTCCTTTCAAGAAGTTATAGAACAAGGGAGGGGGCAGGATAGCCTGGTCGGTAGGGCGCTGGGCCCACGTCCGAGAGTTCGTGGGTTCGAACCCCGCCGGCCGAAGACTCCCCGTGTAGTAAAGTGACTGATGCACGTTAAATCTGTCGAGTCGCGAAAGTCCTCCATGTTCCCATAGCAAATCAGAACCTCTGGGGGTACTGGATTGGAGATCAATCGTTCTCTGATTCAGATCAAAATTACGATCTGAGGATGAATGAATGGATGTATGAATGGGTCCGCCTTATAAAACAGGCGTGACGTATGATGTGGCAGAAGTCGAATTCTTGGCCATAGAAGGCGCCACTGAAAAAACGAGAATCGCACACTCTGCCTTAATTTGCTCGGTTTCACCAAGCAGGCTTGCCCGTTTGGCAAGTGGCATTAAAACCGACCAACCAACCATAGAACAAAGGAATTTTAGAGTAAGGAATTGGAACGAGAGAGTTCAAACAGAATTATTAAAGTACTTACCTTGAGCGAATCCAAGCACAAACACGATGTAAATTGTCACAAAACACAGTAAATCAGTTAAAATCATTTTGTATATCATTACAACGAAAGGGCCTACCAGTTTGAATCCTCTATAAGAAATAAATAAGAAATTTAAAATCGATATGCACCTCCCTAAATACATAATTTTTAATTCATTTTTTTAAAAACGAAATCAAGAAATTTCCATGTTATTTATTATCAGTCAATCAGAGCAAAAAATAAATAAGAAGCCCCGAATATCAATTTTTCGAAATTGAAATTGAAATGCGAAAATTTCGAAATTGAATTCGAATTGAAAGATCGATTGATTCGAGTTGGAAAATGAATCAAAATTTCTAAATTGAAATGCGTTCTTCTCTCATTACAAAACGACCAAAAATAAATAAGTTTTGTTTTCTTGAATAAATAATTTTCTCAGATTGATCTCCATAATAATTCATATAATTTTAATATTTTTTTCTTGATTAAAATAAAAGTATTTGACTGCTAATTTGTATAAATTTTAAAGGTATATTTCTTTCAAAGAAAGAAAAGATGCTTATAATATTTAATTCCAAATTCCTGAAATACGCTTAAAAATACATCGCACAAATTGAATACAAAATATTACATGAATAAAGGTTTTATACAAATGGAAAACACCTTTAAATAAAATACATCATGTTGGTAGAAATTCTAAATATCTCGTATTAATAAATGAAAAATATTGTTCGTGCGAAGAAATATTTATTATTTAATATAGATAAAATCTTAAAAATTTCTAATATAAATGAATACATATCTAATATATTACGAAATATTGTGACGGAAGTTATTGCTCCAAGAACAACATTATAATTTAGTACTAATATATTAAATGTTAATAGCAACTTAAAATATATCTTTTAATAAATGTAAGTTAGGAAATATTTAAAGACAAAATGTTAAACACTGATAGAAATGAAACAGTGCTTCGATTAAATTATATATATGAATGAAAAGGCTAATACAGACGACCAGCATTGAAATTACATTTGAAATTAAATTATTAAATGTTGAAAGAACTGGAAAATACTTCATATTATTGTATAGAATTATTCTATGAAAAGCATGATATGAGTAAAGGCCTTATAAATTAAATAGAATTATATTTCGAAAAAATTAAATTATATTTTGAAAATAAATTATTAAGTGCTGATAGGAAACTGAAAACATCTTTTATTAATTAAAAATATTATACAAATATAGGATTTACAGTCATCGACAAAGTTATTTAATTTCAACCATTCTAAATATTGATAAAAATGAGAAATGCTTTTGAAATGTTTATTTTAATTAGTTCTACATCATATTTTTTTTCTAAAAAAAGACAAGTCACAATTTTGTTTTATGCTTTCGTTTTTCAAATTAAAATTAATTTCTAAATGCAGACTCACATCGATTTACATTAACTCTAATGAAAATTAATGCAGTTACCTGCTAATTCAATTAATTACTTATCGTAGTGAAAAAGAAATAAAAGTAGAAAAAATATTGCGTTCTCCGCTTCAATTAATATGCTTTTAAATTAATATTTCTTGCACATTAATAAACTCTTTTATCTCAGATGCTATTTCCAAAATTAGATGGAAAAAGGAGTATTAAAAAGAATTTTACCACACGTAATTTTTTACTAAATTAATATAAATTTGTTTTCCAAAAAGAAAATTAAATATTGAACTAATTTATATATTATGAATGCTCAAATTACCTATTGTAATCAACGGTACAGTATATGAACGGTACCTTTATTTTTTCCATTTTAAAACAATAATCATAATAAAGAAGCATCAACGAAATATCTATGTATTAATTAGCTTTTAACATATAATTTTTATTACAAATTTATCTACTATATATTTTAGATTCATTTTTAAAAATTTTATAGCACTCTCAGAAAAATTGGACCAATTCATATGGGTGAATCTCAGGAATCATTAATCGAATTCGATCTATTCTCTAGGTTGTCCAGACCGTAACCCTGTCAAACCGTAACCTCAGGATTAATTAATTGAATTTAACACAATAAGGGCTTCAAAATTTTCGATGTTCACGATTATTTTCTGATATTTTATACATTTTCAAACAATACTGGAGGTGTAAAAATAGTGTGCCTATTATTTTTTATTATTTTTTTTTAGTATCAAAAGTTAAAGGTTTTAGAGATCTGCACACATGTTAGAAATATTAAAACGCCTTGAGCTATACTATTGTACTAATTTACAACAACCCTAATAAAGTGCTAAATTAAATCATATTTTAGTTCAAATTTAACTATAGGATTAAAATTATCGAGTTCAAAAAGTTCGAAAACATGACAAATTCTCTATACTTTGTTTATATTAGAAATTTTTGAACGATATTATTGTTCAACTTGTTCCAAGCCTTTTAAAAGTCTATATTTTGGATAAGTTTTTAAATTAATAGAGTTAAGTTTTGTTCACATATTTAGTTGTTCGTTTATTATTTACAGTTTTACATAAATGATTTCATAATTACGCGTTTTCGTTATGTATTTTACAGCATTTAAAATTATCTTTTAATTTATAGATAATTTCACGAGCTTAAAACCATTTCTATTTCAAGCAGATGGCAAATGTTACGTTCTCGCCATATATCGCGTGTTCTATTTTTAGCAATTTACTACTTAGATTAAATAGGTGTCTGACGAAAGCATTTACCGGAAAAAAAATAAAATTTTATCAGTTTTCCTCCTTCTTAGAATCGTTAATGCTGAGTACACCTACTATTCGTTCAGTCAAAAGAATGGAAGAAAATTAAAACTTTATAAAGCTACTTTAATTTCATAATCACAATATATGATTGTGCAAAATTATACAAAATTACAAATTTGAATGCAAAAATACTAGTTTTAGTACTTCTTCGAATTTTTTTTCTCAAGTTTTTCCTGAACTTTTGATTTATTTGTTTTATTTTCTAAAAGGTTTCTTATTTTCTTAGTTTTTTTGGAGCTCCTCACATTATTGCATCGATATATTTTGCTTTGGCTACATTAATACAATGTTAGAAAGCATTATTTTGCTGCTATTATCATATTAACTGACGAGAGGAATATATCTTTTTGTTGTTTTGTTTTCTAGATTTTTTAAAAAAAATTTCTAATTTTCTTAATTAAAAAATATTAAGTATTGCTTCCTATTGTTTTTAAAAATGTTCTTTTAGTTGCTGTTTATGCTTATTTAAAATTTATACCTCATTTAAAAATACTTTTTATAAATGCTTTTCAGCTTTGTAACATTTTATTACATTTCTCAAGAAATAGTCAGAAGATTATTTTGTAACTTCAGAGTTATTTTGTGCATGCGATGTTTTCATACTTTGCAGTAAGGTTTAAAGCTTTCATGGGTTTGAGGGGCCTACAGTAAATTATGAAAGAAAACAAGTATTTTCAAACACCCTGTGCCAGATAATTAATCAATGAGCTTGTAACTTGTATCGATTACTTTAATTGTTATTTTTAGCAACTGCATATAATTTCGTAATTGTAGCTTAAATATTTATCGAGATATGGACATTTTTATAAAAAAAAATTTTTTTTGGTCTGTTTTTTGCTTTAACTTAAAAATATTCAGTAAAATGATATAAAATTTTCATAGCAATTTAAAATTAAATTCAATTTTTTTTAAAATTAGAAAAAAGTTCACTTAAAAGTATGCAAGATAAGAGTATTTAAGTAGTGCAAAAATAAAATAAAATGAAAAAATGCGCGATGCGCGAAAATTTTTTTTCCTCCATAATTTTGTAGTCAATCGTCTTTTGTAACTAAAGAAAAAAGTTTTATTTGAATATCTTGAAAACATGAAAAGTTTCGAGCAATTTTCTTTGCAGTTTTTGTCCTTTTTAAAAAGGTAAATAAGAAAAGAAGATAGTTTAAGCAAAGAACAATGAATTTTTTTTTTCATTTCCGAACAGTGTATTCGTAAGGTTTAATTGTAACGAAACTCAACTGTTTTATTGCATGCTTTGAAACATTATACTCTTTTAAAAAGAAATTACTTTCCTAAAAAGAAAAAAAAATGCAAGACAAAAATATCATTTAAAACAATGCTCTCTGTAAGTTATATGATTACTCTCAGAAATTAATGCAAAATTAAATAAGTTTAATAATAAGGGGGAAAATATTTTTTTATAAAAGGCAAGTTTGGCGAAGTTTCTACTTTTTTTATTCCTAAAATATATTTTAAATAATCCTTTGATAACATTTATTCGAAATTTTTTTTATTTTATTACAGTAAAAGAAAGATAAATAAAATATAACAGAAATGAAAAAAAGTACAATAAAGTAGAAATATATTTTCTAATTAATATGTAATCTGAAAAATTATGAGCAAAGCTTTATGAACAAAGCTTTTCTATTGTGAAACATAAAACTGTTCGTTATTTATACTTTGTGATGAAACTGGCGTGTCTTGTTGCATTTATATAAAATAAAAATAAAAAATATGTTTGTAAGAATTAAAATAAAGTTTATCAATTTACAATTAAAGGAATTAAAAGAAAAGCAAAGCTTAACTTTTACATAAAATTTCATCACATTTATAAATCCAAAGTATTTATATTGAGAATTAAACTGTATAAAAGTTATAAACGCTTAATGGTAAAGCTAAAAGTTATTTCCAACTACGCCATTATTCCTTTTATGAAAAAGATTCCTTATGACGATAGAAAAAATTGCTTAGATTCAACTATTCTGAATATAATTGGTAAAAATAGATAAAGAAACCCTATCTACTTAATTCTATTGTTTTGAAATCAAGGTAAGGAATTTCATCTGAGGGATTCAAATTTCTAAACCAAAATAAATTAAAGAACTGGTTTGATGTTTCTGATTTTTTGTATAAGTAAAACAAAATAGAAAGTATTTTGCGAACGAAATAATGCATTCTATGGAACGGAAATAAGCTTTAAAAACTTCAGAGCCTCTTATCAAAACACTAAAACAGGTTTCCTGTTTAAGGTCAAAATGACTATCACATTCCTATTCAACACAATAAAGATGACCTAAATGAAAAGTTCTAATATGAATGAAGCTTTTCGGAATGAAAGTTAA